CAGAGCTGGGAGGCACGGGTGGCATGCATTTACATAAATGCCTTCATCTAGCGCATCGGAGACCTTATTCTATCAATCAAAATGAACACAGCACAGAGAGCAATGGCTGCCTTGAACAAATCAGGGCAGGAACAGGGCAAAGTACTGCGGATCCTACACAGCAAAGCCAGGTGCTCAACTTACTACCAGTGTGGGGTCTGCAAACGTGAGCGGACAAATGGAGAAAACCCACGCCTGGACCATGAAAACTTCCTGCTTTGAGAACAGGCTTAAAATTCTACCTAGGCTGCAGAAAAAAAGAGACTTCTTTTGCGGGAAGTTGGCCTTATCCCATGAAAAGCACCCTGCAGCGATGCAGGAAACAGAGAAGGCAGTGCAGCATTGTTCTGAGATCACAATAGTCAATCTGTGTGTAAGGGATTATCATAAGATCCAGTCATAAGATTTTTTTAGACCCATCTTTGCATGATCTACCACTTCTGGTTTCTAGCGCTTGCCATTCCTGTTTCAACAATCCACCTGTGATAACGAAAACAATAAAAAATCACAAGAGACATCTAGAGTTTAACGTCTTCCTTAGACCTTGCAATATTTTCACAACTCATCTTTTGTTCTCTGCTTGCCATTCCAAGTTTCACAAAAATTATATTTATAGTGTTGAAATACTGCTATTGATATTATCTAATCTCTAATTAGTAGAGCATGTTTTTTATTTTTCTTCCACTTTTCAGAATAAAGCTTAGATTAGCCATTCTTATGTTACAACACTTAAATATGTATGCTAGTAATTTAGAAGTTGCTCTAATGTCATACAAACAAATCCAAAAACATTAAAAAGATAGATGTCCAGCCTGCTTTACAACTCAGCAAAGCATGATGGATGGATTAGCCTATTTCAGCCTTTTCTCAGGCTCTTGCTTTTGTTGATTTACTCTTAACACACATAGTAACCCCATTTAAATGTGTTGCAGACCTTGTAAATTCTTTGCTTATCCCTGTGGAACTTAGAAAGGATTGCAAACGCTGTCAATGGCCCTTCACAGTCCACAGGTATAGCATAAACTCATAAAGGCCTCAGACATTCCCCGTGGTCCTTTAAGGACTGTGGTTATTGTTAAGGCTTGCAATTACTGTCTGCACAGTTGAGAAGGCTCACAGGTACAGTCCTCACACCACCCGTCCCAGGATTTTATGTGTCTCTGCTTCCTACATAAAAAACAATCTCTGTTAACATTCTTTAGAGGTACTTTCCTCCCTAGCAAAAATGTATGTGGTATACTGTCTGCATTTTGGGAAAGCAGTAAACCCAAAACAGGATTTCTTTTCCCAGAAATCTTTCCTCAGATTTCGAGCATTTGTGGACTGTTTAAAAGTCTTCTTTCCATCCATCCATCCAATGCTTATTTTATGATAGAGAGCTTTTATTTGTATTTATTTTAATAGCAGCAATCTTTCTCCAGCAGTAATTGTGGATGCCCAGTGAAAGCAACGTTCTAGAAATGAGTGAAAGTTAAATAGTGCAATTTTACTTGGGAAAAGGAAAATTCACCTTCCTTGCTCTAAAAAAAGAAAAAATCTATAATCAGATCTTTAAAATAAAATAAAACCCAATGTTGTCATTTGCTACATATTTCATGCTTAAGTTTGTTCAAAGAAATCAAAAGAATCATCCTATCTTTCCACTTTTCAAAAACACTTGAAACAGTTGTGTATCTACTCCCATTTCTTCTTCAAAGTTAATAAGGTGGATTAATTTGTTGAGACCTCTAAGTAGAGGAAAAGATGAATGGAGACTTAAACAAACGTCTGAACCTCAAACAAAACTTGCATTTCACAAGCTCACTTGTGGAAGAAATGTGTCACAAACACATCTCAAAGAAATTTTTTTTCAGGCCTTATCTGGGAAGGTTTTGCAAAACAGTCACCAAACAGTAATTCTCTTTACACCACTAAAATTACACTTACAGATTGGAAAGAGTGAGATAGAATTTCCTTATCGTAAATGCCTAACTGTAGTCTGCCAAAGACAGCTGATTGAGCTGTGCATTTTAAAAGTCTAATGTTCAAAAGCTTTGGTTTCACTGTGTGTTAACAGAGTGAAATGACAAAAGAAATATCTTTTTATGGACCACACAACACAGATTGTATCTGCACATAGTCCAAACTAGGCAAGGCACAACAGTATTCTGCATTCAACCCCAAAGCTAGCTTTCTCAGCTGATCTGTAATCTGAAATTGCCAGGACAGCCAACTGCCCTTGCTTTTCACCATACTATTTGTTTTTGCAAATAATGACAGTATCTTCAAGCTTTTAAATTTATATGGATTTAGTCTTAACCAACAGAATTAGTTTTCTTTGAGTCCATCTGAGAAATTAAGGAGGTTTTTGCAAACTGCTGCAATAGGCTGAACGCCCGTGTTAGTCCAATATCCAAACAGTAATCGAAGTGAAATTTGTTTCACAGTTTTTTTTTTTCTCCCTCCTTCAATATTTCTGGCCTGATACAGATTTGTCCTGCCAAAATCCCTCCCCACTGCACTATCGTTCCATGAGCTATTTCACACCTCCCGGTTAGTTCTAACGGGGAGCCAAATCCATTCGGACACCGCTGGTATCCGAAGCGTGACAGAATGGAATCTTTCCCTGGACATTAGGAGAGGCCTTGAGATGTCAAGGGTGAAGTATCTCCACGGTAGAAATGATACTCAGCTGCGCAGTTCCTTCCATGCCTTTCATTGAATCCAGATGCCACAAGTTGCTCAGCTTTGTAAGTATCTGAGAGACAGGGACACAGACTAAAACCAGGGAGGTCAATCACAAATGTGGAGTAGGGAGAAATTCTGGCTAGTCCGAGGATTACTGAAAAAAAAAGGGGTAGGGGTGATTATATCTATGCCCATCCTTTAAAGTGATGAGGCCAACTCCCCGTGCCTTAAGTTTAACTTAGTAAAACACTGAAACAGAAGATGGTAAGAGCCCCTCTCGGCAGCTAGGCACGATTCAAAGTCTCCGGATCTATTAGACAGCACCTCAGTTAAGTCTGGCTGGAAAGCCACGGTGCAGAATTCACCGCATTGTCCCCCACACAGATCAGATCTCGGAGGTGTATGCTCCTCAGAAACACCCTTAAGAAGCAGCCAAGAGTCCGATGGAAGTGCCATACGACTTGCTGGACAAACCGGACTCGCTTTGATCACAACACCATCAATGGCCTGCAGGCTATTCCCTGGCTATTTGCTGCTGCCGGGGCTTGCCTGCACTTAGAGCAGGGCTGAAAGACACAATCATACCTGAGCGTGTCCCATTAATCTTTAGAAAGGTCAGTAAGGGAACTCTGGTTAAAAGAACTGGAAGTCACACTTCAGTACTAGAGGAAAACTCTTCTAGAGGCCTAGCTGAAACAGTCAGTCAGGAAAAAACGTAAAGTTTATCTCTCTATGAGGCACTCTGAATGTCACCCTAAACATGTGAGGTCCTAAAAGATATAGAAATTCCAATTTCCTTAAATCCCTTCAAAAATCTCACTCTAAAGCATTGCAATGCTGCTGTGCCCGCCATTAAGTTTTGTAGCGCTGCTTGTTAGGCTTGGATTGCTTTTCCAAAAAATTGTCATACTAAATTATCATTCATACTAATTATCATTTAGTATGAAACTGGCTACAATGGGGTCATCACAACATCAGCAAAACGCCCAAACACAGACTATTTTAAGAGGTGCTTGTTGATTTTCAGCCTCTCTTCCCACTCCCAAGAGCACTATTTATATATGTATATACACATACACACACATATGTGCACATGTATACTTCCACTAAAAGACATAACAGAGAATTATTCTGCATGTTTCCATCACACTAACTGCAGTGCTGTAGCTCAGCTTGTGCCAAGCTCCCCTTTCAAAACAGAGCAAGATGCTTTGCTCCTCACCTCCCTTTGAACACACCACGTGCATCTGTATATCGAGCCACTGAAGAGGAGCAAGTTCGCTGCAAATTCACAACCTGCCTCTGTGTGTACTAATGCCACTACGCTCACATACTGTCATAACCAATACTTCCCTACCACACGCAATTCAGACCAACTGTGAGCAACACGGGTATGCCTGTTCCATGCACTTTCTTTTAGCCTCAGAGAAATTGCCAGCAGAACCATGTACAGAGCTTTAAAGAGAGAGACAGAGACCACAGTAATTCTTATTAATGCTCAATATAATTTGATAAGATGAACGCTCAAGAGGTGCTGATGAAACATGAGAGAATAAAACTCCTATGCTAAGACCAGAAAAATGACCAAAGGCATCAGCTCTGACTGGAATTTGTCAGTGCAATAGGTCTCCCACAAACAGTAATTTCATTCAATATGTTAAAATAAGATAGCCTGTTATGTAAGGAAAGCATTTCACAAATTCATTCTCCCCCTATCAACAGAAGGAAATCTGTGGTGCCAAGTGGCAAACTTACTTGCCCAAAGCATTTTGATACCACAGTAGCAGAGGCAGGGAAAGAATCTTGTACCAGATGTCCAGAGACATAACTGGGAACAGATCTAGGGCTCCCAGCAGCATGCCTTAATCGACAAAAACATACTGGCCTGCATTCTCTCTCATGCCCTTCCCCTCGTTATGTAGCTTGTGCACCAGCGTGTCAATGTACAGTCCCCCCCCCAACTGACAGGCACACACACGTACTCACAGTCTGAGCACGCATGTTTGTGTCTCTAGGCTAATCATCATGTAGCTCTGCACATATAATCCTGTAGCCAGGATTATATGCTGAACAAATTCATTTTTCTCCCCTTGATGCTCCTTTTTTTTCCTTAAAAATTAGCTGGCCACAGTACCACAGACAGCCTCCTTCTGATGCCTGAGCTAGTGAAGAAGTAGAAAAAAAATGCACGCACCAAATTAAAGGGACATATCAAAATATTACGAGGTCAAGTTACTAAACATACTGCAATACAGTCTGCTAAACAAGAGAGTAGGGGGGACCATGGCATTTACCTGACAAGAGATCTGCACAAGGTAGACCAGTTCCTTGGATTCACAGCCGTTTCTTGTTACTTCATTCTGTTCCTCCGGGAGCGAAAGCTACACCAAGGGAGCAGGGAGGGTGGGGAAAAGAGGGAGAGAGAAAGAGCAGGTCAGTGAGCAGGGCTAAGCCAGGCATGGAATAACGCATGAACATTCACATCAACTTGCTCCAAGACACGCTGAGTATCAGGGAATGAGGAAAGTGCTTGTCTGTCTGGAGTTGTCAAACAGAAAAGAGTCAGCATTCATTGTCTACAGGGACCTCCTCAAATCCTGCTGGATTTTGGCATCTCACCTGAGAGTTTAAAAATAAAAGATGGTTCAGAAACCAAATGATCATAGCAAGAAGGCAAATTGTTCAAGTCAGGGATTAAATATCCAGCTTTAGAAGTCTGCAAAATTAACGGTTCACTGAAAATATCCCCATAAATATTCACCTATTAGATAACAGAGATTTTTCCTCCCAATTTTATTTGTTTTTTTTTTTAGTTCAGGCAGACATTAGATAAGAAAACATATCTCCCAGTTTCAACGTTCTCAAGCAATTTACCACAATAGAGAGCTTTATGGCACCATTCATCCAATACAGAGAGTCTCTAAACAGGAGGATGCGCTTTTTTCAGGGCAGTGAGTAGAGATTTAAGCATGTCATTTCCGTACATGTAACGAGTGTCAGGGAAGAGCTAAATCACAGGCCTTGTCTGTACTAAAAAAACTGATCAGAAGAATCTCCTACTTCCCAAACAGTTTATATTTGCGGGAAGAAAGATGAGAGAGGGAAAGACAACCATATTGCTTATAATGGTTCCTCAAATGAAAGAGGTATATTAGAAAAAGGATTTGAGCTTCTGTCAACACAACTGTACCAAGAGAAGGAGATCATCATACCTGCAACCAGTTCAGCCCACTTAGCAAAACACTGGGTGTGTGCTTGTTGTTTTTTGTATTGTTTTAACTTTTAAACCTTGGGATAAAAGTTTTGACTTTAACCTCATGAAATACGTGGATTCACGTGCCAACAAAGCATGTGATTTTAACTCACCCTCTTTGCCTAGGTATCATGCAGATTCTGCACACCTAACCAGGATTTTCAGTTTTAAATGTTACTATGAATCTTATTGAAAAAGAAAAAAAAAGATTTGCACTGCAGAATTTATGGTTCTTTCAAGTACCATGATCTTCCCACAATCCCTACTCTTCTTGTCCAGAATATCAGATCCTTCTAACTTAAATAGGAAACTCCTAGCAAAAATAGTATTTCACAGTTCAGTACAAATTAGGATTACAATCAACCACTTGTGAGGTCTATCACCATGTGACCCTGCGATGGCACAAAGTAGAATCTGGCCAGATCAAATGTTCAGCCTTTAGCATTCTTCCATTTTCAATCAATCTGACTTTAAGCCCACCTCCCCACTCCTTCCCAGCTCACCAAAAGGGCTTTTTTTTTTTTTTGGGGGGGGGGGCAGAGGGGGGATCCTCTTTATTGCTTTTTTGACTACTTGAACCTCTGCTCCCAAGATAGGCTAACAGCAACAGAATTACGTAAAAATATTTGAATGTGATCGGGAAAAATTAGGACAGATACACTCTTAATTATCCAGGTTTTCATCAACAGTCAATGAGACAAACTGCAAATACTGTTGAAATATACAGATTAAATTTGTACATTATTATTTGCATTTTTCCTCGGTGAGCTTATATTTTCATATATGTTTTGTCTGAAAGCACTTTGCCCTTCACAAACGCAGTGCTTTTCTCCGAGTACCTTATAAAAGTATTGATAAAAGTATTTTACAACAGAGAAAGTGAAGTAAGGAGAAAACAACGGATTTGCTAAACACGGCACGGCATGAATTAGTGGCCAAGACAGGAATACATAGGCCAGCAGGCTACCTTCCCTCAAAACATCTCTTGGACACCTGTCCCAACTGGCCACACAAGTAACGTTCTTCCTTGAAAACAGAAGTTACAAATTGATCATAAGCAAATTAAGTCCACATAAACTGACTGCAAAGCAAATCAAAAAAACAAATGTCTTTGAAAAAACTCTCTTACAAAAGAAAAAGAGAACCCTACACAGTGTGTGTATTCGTGCGTAGCCTGCTGCCATTAATGTGATTAAGTAGTATGACAATTATTTCTGCATTTGCATGCTCCTCCACTTTATCATGATGCTTTTCTATCAAATTTCCTATTCAAAGAGCTACTAAGTTTAAAAACTAAACAACAGTCAAAGAAAAACAAAGAAACAAAACATGCAGTTAAAGAAAAGCTAATTCACGGCTGGAAATATTTTCCATATTTGTAAGGTGCCAAAGTGCTCCAGTTCATTTCAAAGTGGGTGAGAAACGTTTCCATCCTTTAATCTTACCTGTGCTTATTTAGAGTACATACACACCTACGCTATTAACCCACAACAAAATTTCGGGCTTTCCCTTCTTTAAGAATATCAGTGCTAAAGCACGTTACTACAGGCTCCACTTCACCCTGGTAAGCTCTATTTCTCTGAAAAGCTAGCAGCCAGGCAATGAAAGTGCCAACACGTAAATGCATCAGCTCTCCAAACACGTATAAGGCCTGATCCTGTGCAACACAATACAGGGCAGAAAAAGGTGCGAGTCCGGTTAAGACAAAGGTTGACTTGCATCACCTGTCCTCTTACTTAAGTTGTAATTTACACCTGCTTGGACTTATGCCAAACCATGTCTGTACATGAACTCTCCAGAAACAGGAAGTGAACCATCTGAAGGCTTCGGGTCCATGTGCACAGGGGGACTCAGCTACAGCAAACTAAGGCCATTTTTCATTTGAAAGAACACACTTACCTGAGGATCAACCTACGGATGTACGCTCCCTGAGTTTACACCCAGGTAGTTAGTTTTCACTTTAATGCCTCTAAATGTTCCCATTTGGACAGGTACCTGTAACATCAAGTTACACATGCTAAATGAATTGGGGGGAGGGGGCGCTATATTTAGAGGCCCCATCAGCATGCCAGAAGTCTTCTGAAATTCTCTTCTGGTCTGCTATGAATGTGCTGGTACACCTAGCAGTAAATTACCAGGGAATGAGCCAAGAGCAGTGGCATGCTGCAGTGATCCACAATGCCAAGAAGAAGGGTCCCCTACTAGTCCACAGTTTCCTCGTGGCCTGCTTGTAAAGAGGCCCTCCCGGGCAATGTAGCACCAGAGATTTCTGCACTACATGACCTTGTTCCTTCAGACATTTCTGTCAAGGTGGGAAAGGTCCTCTAACAGGCCCCAGCTGCTGTGCAGATGCTCTGAAACAGGGCAGGAGACAGCCTGATAACCATAGCTATTTGAATTCCAAGGAGAGCAAGTCATTCCCTGGAGCCATTTAAATGACATCCCAGGATATGTGACAACAGCTCAGGAGTTTGTTTTGAGACGTATATCCTGTAAAACAGGGGGGGGGAAAAAGCCTACATCAGGTTTTGCAGTAAGGTGTGTAGTATTAACAATCAGGATGATATTTTTGTTCCTAAATGTTAGCGTGACTTGATGGGCCATTCCTTAGCAATTTCTATCTCTAATCTGTGTCTGTAGTAAGAAGTGGTATTCTAAACCCATTGTATTGCCCAAAACACATCCTATTCTACTTTAGAGTAAAGCAGTAACAGCTAACTGAATGACTGCCCCTCTTCCTGTGGCTAATCTCATGCCCATTGATAGAAGGAGAAAGTAGAACTGTATATGCAGGAAAAACTATTATTTGTATCTTTTAACATAAGAAACATAACTATCCTTGCAGCAACATACCCTAGAAGATGAATGTTTGCTTATGCTCCCTGTTCCCATGTGCCGTAATTTTCATTTTGCTCTATTAAGAGACACGCATTAACATTGTTACAAAAATCATTCATGTCTCACTGTTTAAAAGCTTTTCCTCCTGCAATATCTGTTATAAATAAAACATCCTAGAAAGGTGAGGTGTGTCTAAGCCTGACTTAAAAACCAGGGAACACAGAGCAAAGGCCTCTCTTGAGCTTGTTGGACTTCGAGCATGGCTCAGTAGGCAGAATCTGGTTGACTCCAAATTGGGAAACTTGTTTTCATCTTCTTACAGGAGAGACCAAAGACAGCTGGGACTCAAGGATACCACTTCTAAGAGCTTCAATCTGTATAATCTGAGGTAGCTGAAATAATCTGTAAATAGCATTTAGGGTAACTGACCAAAGTGTTAAGCAGCACACGTGACATACATGGCTTGATATATTCTCTGGAACGTTCATTTGTCACCTTCAAAACGGTTGTCAAACTTCCTGAACCAGATAAACAACTATGAAGCAGTACGTTTATGCTAGGTTCATTTATTATTGGAATATGTATGCTTAGCTAACATAAGCAGATACAGCCGATTTCATAAATCAAGTTTGTGGTATCCTAATCTTTTCAATGGTAGCATTTTACAATGACACACTAAGATTACGTAGTCACAAGAAAGAAAGGGTAGAGGAGTAGCAGATAAAATGCTTACGCTGGTACAGCAACAAAAAACTTTTGCAGATTGAACCGTAGAATACAGCTGGTGTGTACTGAATTTCAGATACCATGGTCGAGCTAAAGCCTCAACAGAACTTTAGGAACATGCTGCAAGAACAAGCCTTAAAGATGGTCTTATCAACACATTACACTTTAGCAGTTGTATGCTTAACTCCCAGAGCTGTGCATTTTATGTTATGCTATCATTCAAATAGGTCTTTACACAGCAAAAGCCAAGCTTGTGAGTCTCCACTCTGCCTTTCTGCACATACCAACAAAGAACTGGTGAGCGTATTAAATCCTGGAGCAGAGGCATGTCATTTTTCTTCTACCTGCAAATTCACACTATGTCACCTTGCGCAGCTGACTGTAGTAAGAGCTGTAGTCTCTAATACAATGATCTGCCGAACAATGTCTCACTGTAAGAGACCAAACAGCAGCAAAGATTTCCAAGAGCAGGAGACTGGCCAAAGAAACAATCATGAACTCAGTGTATCACTCCACTTTAACAGCAATAGTTTCACCCTAGATTATATGCCTCATTCATATATA